GTCATTACGAATTCTTCGAGTTCAGGACCTCAAAATCTGGCTAACTGGTTTCCTAAATCCCTTCACACAAAATCATTATCCTGCTCACACTCTAAATGGTCTTCAAGTCCCAAAAACTATATCATCTCTCCATTCCTATCTAACATCCTACACTGTCATGTAGAGGGGGGTATTGAAAAACGTAAGCATATCTGTGGGATAACGGAGTAAACTGGAGTAAAGGCAGGAGAGTCTGAGTCGAGTGGCAGGAGTGATGATTAGTGGAGGTCGGTAGGTAATGTGAATGGGGGGGGTCACTGGTGGACTAACACCTTCACCTCTCATTACTCTACCCACCACACCTACTCACCCTACTAACTACTTGAAATAAAACAATTAATGAATAAAAAGAGAATTAATTGGGGGGACAGTGATATATTACTATTCTACTCAAAATACGTTTAATTATTAAGTCCTTGTACAATAAAATAATATTTGGGAACAGAGAGAAGCATTATTGTGGTTTTGATCAATGGGGTGGGTACCATAATAAGCAGTGGAGACAGGGAATACAATCAACTTGACAAAAATGAATATAACTTGCAGTATAGTTCAGGGAGGACAGTTCACCACAGGAATAAGCTACAGGTCTCAAGACCCTAGCACAGCACGCAGTACTGCTCCAAGCCATTACTCTTCCAGTGGTTTTCAACAAGTCTCCACTCCAGAGACTTCAGAAGCCTTCTCCGGAGCCTGCACCTCCGCAGCAGCCACTCACATTCGAATTGTCCTGCTCAGAGCCTCCTGCCCACAGCAAGCAGCTCCGCTCGAAGTCTTTCTTGATCATGCTGTTCCTCGGTCTTATAATGGATGGTTCCAAAGGCACCCTCCACAATGGGTGTGCACCACATGTTACGACCTGATAGCCGAGATGATGCCAGTGACGAACATAAGGGAGATGAGGAACTAAGCCGAAAAGGCATGGCATACTGACAGCTATTTGCCAAGGCAAGGTGACCATATTAATTGGGTTAACTTAGGTTCTCCCCAGAGACCTCACTAGCCCGCTGAAACTACATCAACATCCCCCTTTCTTCCCAGCTTCAAAATATATCTGAGAACTAGGACATTTTGTGTTAAGTTATTAGACTTTTTTAATTCCTAACCACTTAATTCTATTACAAATAGACAAAGACAATATTATACATAGCATGGATACAAAAATTCTTCAACTACATATATTTCCCTCAAACCTTCATCAACTTCAACAAGGCATAGTTACAATCAGTACACCTGGCAGATGACCAGATAAACAGTTGGGGGGGGCTAATCTGGTGCAAAAAGCCTCCTTACCCGTCATTTTCTCCTTAAAATACATTATATCGGAGCTCCACAGTGCCTTCCCTACTTCTACTAGAAATGCATAGCCAGTACTGTCCCCTCGCCATCATAACCATATGGGCCAAAACCGCTCTGGCTTCACACTTCCACACACTTTCAAACATCTGAAAATCGAATTACAGGGGCAGGCATATAACATTGGAGGGAGGGAGTATGGAGAAATTGGAATGTTTTCAGATATTGGGAGTTGACTTGTCAGCGGATGGAGTTTATGAAGGCATGACGTAAACTATAGAAATGATGAAGGAAAAATCGTGGAGTGGTGCGTTGAGGTATTGAGGAGACAAAGGTGTTATCCATAGAGGCATAGAAGGGAATGTATAGAAAAGTATAGTGGTCCCAACAACTTGTTATGAGTGTGAAGCTTGGGTTGTAAATGCAGGCAGCGAGGAGAGCGGTTTGAAGGCAGTGGGATGTCTGTCTAAGGGCACTCAAATAGTGTTGGTGTAAAATTTATGCAGAGAATTCAGGTGTGGAAATTAGGAGGAGGTGCGGAGTTACTAAAATTTTTAGTCAGAGGGTCTGAAGGAGGGGTTGTTGAGGGTGGTTTGGTTATTTAGAGAGATGGATTCAAAGTAGTAATGACTTGGAGAGCATATATATCTGTAGGGGAAGGAAGGCGAGGTTGGGGTCATCTTCAAAATGATTGAAGGGAGGGGTAAAGGAGGGTTTTGTGGGCGAGGGGCATGGATTCCAGCAATATGTGTGAAAACGTTTAGATAGGAGTGAAATGGGAGACGAATGGTTTTTGGGACCAGATGAAGTGTTGGAGTGTGAGCTCAGGGTATTATTTTGTGAAGGGATTCAGGGAACTGGTTAGTCGGACTTGAGTCCCGGCCAATGGGAAATACTCAGTGGACCCCCGGTTAACAATTTTTTTCATCCTCTAAGTATGTTCAGGTGCCAGTACTGACCGAATTTTGTTCCCCATAAGAAATATTGTGAAGTGATTAGTCTATTTCAGACCCCGAAACAACACGCTACCAAATGCACTTAATAATACTCTTACATAATTGGTAACATTTGGTAGGTAATCGTTATGCGGGAGTCCCTTAGTACAATGCCTGCACTTTAAAGGAGGGTGTTTGGGATATTGGCAGTTTGGAGGGACTTCTAAATCTTGTCATATTCAGAGCTTCTCTGCCAAAGGACTGTTGATTATGTAGGAGTGAGTGAAAGTGTTGAATGATGATGAAAGTATTTTCTTTTTGTGGATGTTCTTTTCTCTTTTTTTTTGAGGTACCCTGCCTCTCGGGGGAGATGACCGGCGTGATTGAAAAAAAAAATTGTCGGTAATTCTACCAACATTAATAACAGTTATAGTTCTTCTGTTCTTATGTCCAAGAATCTGTATTATTAAAAGCCACTGGAGGGCGAAAAGTCTTACAATAAAAGAAAACCAGATGTTGCACAAGTCGTCTTAACTTTCAGAGCAGTTTTTATATTATATTTATATATTCATTTTGGTGTTTATTAATTTTCTAGCAAAAGTAAAAAGATCAACAAAATACAAAGAAAATCCCAATCTTCAACACTACAGATGCTAGAGGATGGAAAATCAGTGATATCTCAGATGATAAATATTCTGTTAACATCCATTGCTTCACTGCTTTCTTAAATAATCCGAGCTCCAAAGTCATTTATCAATTGTATTAAGAAAGATAATAAAGGGGATCTAACAGAGAGTAAGTACACATAACCTTTATTTTTATTCTTGTTGATGAGGGTGTTTTTACTATCAAATGTTCAAGGTTGATGGACCTGGATTAGTCACGATAGTTAAAAGTTCCATTTATCTGAATTTGTTACTGACAATTATTTTTAATTCTGAATTGAATTTTAGGCGGGTTCGTCTCAGTCATAAGGACTTGAGGGTAGGACCCATTTATAAGCAAAAGCCAAATTGCACACAGTTGCATTGTGCAACCTGTAATTTTTTTTACATATTAGGACCCTTTTATTTAACAATTAATTCTCTGCAGCTGCATAGAAGTGATTTGCAACAAAACAAGGAAATGTAAATAATGGCCTATTCAATTTTCCTACTAGTAAAATATTTCAGTAAGAGCACCAAGGTACTTGTGCTCATAACAGTGATAAACTGTTGAAATTGTATTGTGATCTCTGTATTTATATTTCAACCAAAATTACTTTTACTTTATTTATTGGTTTGCTTGGATGAGGGTTAAAAGTTTTCAAGTTTTTACAGCAGTTTTTGTTTAGTTAATAGGAGCAGTAATAACATAGGGGACAAGAGATTCCCAAAACAAATTAAAAAAATATGATGCAGTGTGATGCACCCCTAATCTTTTGTATATTATAGGTTTTCTTGTTCAAATATTCTATCAAGGACAATGAAATCTTGTTTGTGAAGCCGGTGAAGTTATCGGTTTACTTCCTATTCGGAAGTTCCAAATTAAAACATGAATTTCATTTTGAGTTTTTGACCAAGCAAATAAGGTGTGTTTGTTTAGAAAACCCAAAGTACAAAAATGTATAAACATTCTTTAAAAATTTCGATTACTTCTTATATGTGGGTTTCATGTGTTTTACTAAATTGTCACTCCTTACCAGAGAAGTACATGTACAGTGCTTGGCCTGTAAAATTCATGACCTGTGACTAAAACCTTTCACGATAAAGAAAAATAATCAAAAACGGGACAACTCTTGGGAAACAAAACAATGCACAAGAAGCAAAAGACCAGCTATTAAAGGAGATATTGTTTATCGCGGATTGCCAATAAACATTCTATATGATACTAAATCAAACATAGTCATGGACAGAGTTAATGGAAGAGCTGTATAGTCTTCTGTAACAAGCACAGCATTAAGGGATATAGACATGCAAGCAAAGTCTACAAGATTATCAACCCAAACAGAGTATCAACAGTGCAATGCTGGAGTAAAGTGTTCACTCAAATGTCAGATTTAGTAGAAGCTATTCTCTATTCTTTGACATTTGAAAGAAAATGGAACAAATTCTTTAAATTGTGAAGAGTATTAGCAGCATGCTAAAATTTTCCCAATTAAACGACTCTTCAACCTGTCCTAAGGTTTCATAAATGAGAATAGGAGCCACATTCAAGGAATGATGGTAATAAATCAAAAGAAAATGTTGAATTTGAGAACTTCAAGAATACACTTGGTATCAAAATAGAAAAGAGTTTAGGACAAGTAAAAGAAGCCAAATGCGGAAGGGTCTTCAAGAGATCAGCAAAATTAAGCAACTCATGCTAAACTTTGAGATCCTGGAATGGAGAAACAGTCCTGTCACAAAAACAATGAACAGAATCGAGGTCATCACTTGCGAACTACAAAGAAAATACAAAGGTAAGTTAAAAGGGTTTATTTTTTGATTCATGGATAAAAGATGACAGTATAGTATTTTAATATATAAATTTAATTGACTATTGTACTAGACTTTTTTACATTTTAATCATAAAAATGCTTAAACCTCATTGCTTTCAGGAAAATAAGAGTGATTCTTGCTGACAAGACAAATGGAAAATTGGGTGCTAACGGTGAGCCACGGGTACAACAAAAAACAACAGTGAGGTTCTTGACATCCTCAACACTGGCACTTTGATGAGACTGCAACAGGCTGCTACTGTTGGTCCAAAATGTCTATGGTGGATACACAATTTCAGGTTAGTGGTTGATTGTGACATTTACTTGTTAATCATTGATCAGAAAGTGATGCTGAAGGGATTGGTATTAAAAGATCATGGAAAATATGGCAAAGTATGCATAATACAACCAGTATATGGACAAACTAATTACTGAAAGATCTGAAACTCATCTGGAAAAACACAAAAATGCATGCACTAGGTCCACTGAGTCCCATGTGGAATGACCTCAAGCTCCCAGGATCAAAAACAATTTTCACATAAAATGTCCTAGTATTTTTCATTTTTGTCTTTTCCTAATACTTATAGGGAGGAGAGTTATTAAATGGAGAGTTAGAGGTATTGGGAAGATGGAGGTGGAACGTTTTGAGGAATTGTTAACCCTTTGGACTGTCGCGGGCCGTAATTATGTACATCTCTCGAGGTACCGTGTTTGACGTAGATTTAGATTTCTTATTATCAACACTGGCCGTACCCACAAAGCAGGGAGCCAGAAAAAGAAAAACTTTCACCATCATTCACTCCATCACTGTCTTGCCAGAGGGTGCTTTTACAACTACAGTTGTTTTAAACTGCCAACCATTAACATCCCTCCTTCAGAGTGCAGGTGCACTGTACTTCCCATCTCCAGGACTCAAGGTCCGACCGCCGGTTTCCCTGAAACCCCTTCATAAATAGTTACTATTGCTCACACTTCCAACAGCACGTCAAGTATATAAAAAACCATTTGTCTCCATTACTCCTATCAAACACGCTCACGCATGCCTGCGGAAGTCCAAAGCCCGTCGCACACAAAACCTCCTTTACCCCCTCCCTCCAACCTTTCCTAGGCCGACCCCCTACCCCGCCTTCCATTTCCACTACAGACTGACTACACTATTGAGTTATTCTGTTCGCTCCGTTCTCTTCACATGTCCGCAACCACCTCAACAACACCTTCCTCAGCCCTCTGGACAACACAGTTTAGGTAATCCCGCATCCTCCTCCCTAACTTCCAAACTAGAATTCCTTGCATTATATTCACCACCACACATTGCTCTCGACATGACATCTCCACTGCCTCCAGCCTTCTCTCGCTGCATCCATTTTCATCACCCTGCTTCACACCCATATAAGAGCGTTGGCTAAAACTATACTCTCATACATTCCTCTCTTTGCCTCCAAAGGAACAAAGATGTTCTTTGTCTCCACAGACTCTAAGGCACCCTCACCCTTTTCCCCTCATCAAATTCTATGATTCACCTCATCTTCATAGAACCCATCCGCTGACATGTCCACACCAAATATCTGAATACATTCACCTCCGTCCATAACTCTCTACCCTCCTAATTGTTATTCCAATCTTTCATCACCTAATCTTTTTGTTACCTCATAACCTTTACTACTTTCCTGTATTCATTTCATTTTCTTCTTTTGCACACCTACCAAATTCATCCACCAATCTCTGCAAACTTCTCTCAGAATCTCCGAAGAGCACAGTGTTCATCTCTAGCAAAGAGCAACTGTGCAACTCCTCCACTTTGTGTGTGATTCTTTATCTTTTAACTCCACGCCTCTGCAAGACCTCGCATTTACTTATTCATACAACCCTGCTATATTTATATTAAACAACCTCGTGACATCAACAATCCTTGTCTAAGGGCCTACTTTACTGGAATTAAATTTCCCTCTTTCCTATCATAATCTAAATTGTTTTTTTTTTTTTATTAAAAACCCAGCCTCACCTAATCCTCGTAAAACTCTTTCACTGCTTCAGTAACCTACTCCTACTAACCATACACTGCAAACATCTGCAACATTGCCCCCCTATCACCCTGGTCTATAGCCTTTTCAAATCCTAAATGCCACAAAGAACATTCTTTAGACTTATCTATAAATACTGTTCACTTATATTTTTCCACTGTAAACACCTGGTCCCCACACCCCTACCTTCCTAAAGCCTATTGTTTCATCTGCTATCCTATTCTCCGGTCTTACTCTTAATTCTTTAAATAATAACTCTTCCCTACACTTTCCAGGTCATTACTCAAACAGACTTATCCCCCTATAATTTTTGCACATCTCTTTTGATCCCCTTTGCCTTTATACAATGGACCAGTATGCATGCTCTCTGCCAAATCCCTAGGTAACCTTACCCTTTCTTCCAATGACATTTTTAAAATAATTGCACTCCAACCACTCACAAAAACTATATTATGCAGAAAATTCGGAGTGTGGAAATTAGGAGAAAGGTGTGGAGTTAATAAAAGTATTAGTACATGAAGGGCAGGAAGAGGGGTTGTTGAGGTGGTTTGTGTCTCATTTGAGAGAATGGATCACAGTAGAATGACATGGAAAAGCATATAACTCTATAGGGGATGGAATGCGGGGTAGGGGTCGTCCCTTCGAAAGGGTTGGAGAGAGGGGGTAAAGAGAGGTTTTGTGGGTAAGGGGCTCTTGGACTTCCAGCAAGCAGTGAGTGAGTCGTGTTTTTTTTTAGCACGGGAAATGGCTTGAAACTGAGCTAAAATTAGCAGAAATGTTAAATTTTGCGATTTCAAGAGTAAACAAACGACCTCAACGTCTAATACACCGCCAGCTGGTGGGTCTAATATGCTTTCACAAATATGGTGATGATATTTAACAATTATTACAGTATTGCATAACAGTAAATCTTCTATTTTTTGTGTGAAAAAAAATTCACTATGTGAATAAAAAATCAAAATGGAATTTATTTGTAAAGCCTCAAAACGTAACTAATGACAGAGGAAATGTTAGTTTAGTTCCAGGAATACCTACATTGTTTTGTTCTGGACCCTATTTGAAATTGGAATATTTTGAACTTTGTGTTAAATTGGCCAAATTAACAATTTCCGATCACTTTAATTTGTAGTTGAAACAGTTGACTTGGCGATTTCTTGAACTCAATCGATAGAATAGAAGTAATACTAGTGAAATAGCTAAGAATTTGGTTGACTGGAATAATGTAATTGGCCTAAAATGGAGTCAAAGTCGGCAAAATCGCCGATTCGTAAATATCGCTGACACATCAAAATTCGCGAGAGCATAATTTCGTGAATTTTCCATCAAATTCGTACTTTTTATTTTATTACCTTCACAAAAAGATTCTCTAACCATTTCATAAGAAAAAATAAATTTTTTTTTTTTTTTTTTTTTAAATTCTTGGACACTGGGGCACCACTTTCAGATTTGGGCCTTGGACCCTGAAGGGGTTAAAGTGTAGGCATTGTAATTCCCACTTTCAGGACTCAAAACCATACCCCCAGCCGGGATTGAACCCGCGGTCATAGAGTCTAAAACTCCAGCCCGTCGCGTTAGCCACTAGACCAGCTAGCCACAAAGGATTCATCCAACTAGGTATATTTCTACACCATAGGAAGGTTAACACAGGCACCACTGTGACCACAAATGCAAGTTTTTACAGACGAATCTCCAGCTAGCGTGGCCGTGACGAACTCTAGCTCAAGTCCCTTCACTGCCGTCAACATGACATCAAGAAATCGTAATGACACGATTTGCAATCGTGTCATTACGATTTCTTGAGTTCAGGACTCAAATCTGGCTAACTGTTTCCCTAAATCCCTTCACAAAATATTATCCTGCTCACAACTCTAATGGCTCTTCAAGTCCAAAAACTATTCATCTCCATTCCTATCTAACATCCTCACACTGTCATGTAGGGGGTATTGAAACGTAAGCATAACTGGGGAATAACGGAGTAAACTGGAGTAAGGCAGGAGAGTCTGAGTCGAGTGGCAGGAGAGATGATTAGTGGAGGTCGGTAGGTAATGTGAGGTCACTGGTGACTACACCTTCACCTCTCATTACTCTACCCACCACACTACTCACCCTCTCACTACTTGAAATAAAATAATGAATAAAAGAGCAATTAAATGGGGACAGTGAATATTACTATTCTACCAAATACAGTTTATTATTAAGTCCTTGTACAATAATATATTTGGGAACAGGAGAACATTATTGTGTTTAGATAAATGGGATGGTACATATAAGCAGTGAGACAGGGAATACAATCAACTTGACAAAAATGAATATAACTTGCAGTATAGTTCAGAGACAGTTCACCACAGGAACTAAGCTACAGGTCTCAAGACCTACACAGCACGAGTACTGCTCCAAGCCAGTACTCTTCCCAGTGTTTTCAACAGTCTCCTCCAGAGACTTCAGCAGCCTTCTCCGGAGCCCTGCACCCCAGCAGCAGCTCCTTTCGAATCTCCTGCTCAGAGCCCTGCACACAGCAGCAGCTCCGCTCGAAGTCTCTTGATCATGCTGTTCCTTGGTCTTATATGGTGGTCCAAGCACCCTCCACAATGGGGTGTGCACCACATGTTACGACCTGATGCCGAGATCTGATGCCAGTGACGAACAAAGGAGCTGAGACTTAAGCCGAAAAGGCATGGCTCTGACAGCTATTTGCCAAGGCAAGGTGACCATATAATTGGTTAAATTAGGTCTCCCCAGAGACCTCACAAGCCCAGCTGAACTACATCACATCCCCCTTTCTTCCCCAGCTTAAAATATCTGAGAACTAGGACATTTTGTGTTAAGTTATTAGACTATTTTAATCCTAACCCCTTAATTCTATTACAATACAAAGACAAAATTATACATAGCATGATACAAAATTATTCAACTACATATATTTCCCTCAACCTTCTCAACTTCAACAAGGCAGTACAATCAGTACACCTGGCAGCTGACCAGCATAACAGTTGCTATCTGGTGCAAAGCCTCCTTACCCGTCATTTCTCCTTAAAACTAAATATCGGGCTCCAGTGCCTTCCCTACTTCTACTAGAAATGCACTAGCCAGTACTAGTCACCCTCGCACATTAACCATTGGGCCAAACCTCTCTAGGCTTCACACTTCACACACTTTCAACATCTGAAAATCGATACAGGGCAGGCATATCACATTGGAGGGAGGGAGTATGGAAGAAATGAATGTTTTCAGATATTTGGGAGTTGACTTGTCAGCGGATGGGTTTATGAAGGATGACGTAAACTATAGAATTGATGAAGGAAAAATCGTGAGTGGTGCGTTGAGGTATCTGAGGAGACAAAGAATGTTATCCATAGAGGCAAAGAAGGGAATGTATGAAAGTATAGTGGTACCAACACTTTTATATGAGTGTGAAGCTTGGGTTGTAAATGCAGCAGCGAGGAGGCGGTTGAAGGCAGTGGAGATGTCCTGTCTAAGGGCAATGTGTGGTGTAAATATTATGCAGAGAATTCAGAGTGTGGAAATTAGGAGGAGGTGCGGAGTTACTAAAATTATTAGTCAGAGGGCTGAAGAGGGGTTGTTGAGGTGGTTTGGTTATTTAGAGAGAATGGATCAAAGTAGAATGACTTGGAGAGCATATAAATCTGTAGGGGAAGGAAGGCGAGGTAGGGGTCATCTTCAAAATGATTGAAGGGAGGGGGTAAAGGAGGTTTTGTGGGCGAGGGCATGGACTTCCAGCAATCATGTGTGAACGTGTTAGATAGGAGTGAATGGAGACGAATGGTTTTTGGGACCTGATGAGCTGTTGGAGTGTGAGCAGGGTAATATTTTGTGAAGGGATTCAGGGAAACTGGTTAGTCGGACTTGAGTCCCGGCAATGGGAAATACAGTGGACCCCCGGTTAACAATATTTTTTCACTCCAGAAGTATGTTCAGGTGCCAGTACTGACCGAATTTGTTCCCATAAGAAATATTGTGAAGTAGATTAGTCTATTTCAGACCCCGAAACATACACGTACAAATGCACTTACATAAATACACTTACATAATTGGTCACATTTGGAGGTAATCGTTATGCGGGGGTCCACTGTACAATGCCTGCACTTTAAAGGAGGGGTTTGGGATATTGGCAGTTTGGAGGGACTTCTAAACTGTCATATCAGAGCTTCTCTGCAAAGACAGTGATTATGTATGAGTGACGTGAAAGTGTTGAATGATGATGAAAGTATTTTCTTTTTGTGGATTTTCTTTCTTTTTGGGTCACCCTGCCTCGGTGGGAGATGACCGGCGTGTTGAAAAAAAAAATTGTCGGTAATTCTAACCAACATTAATACAGTTATAGTTCTTCTGATTTCTTATGTCCAAGAATCTGTATTGATAAAGCCACTGGATGGCGAAACGTCTACAATAAAGATAACCAGATGTTGCACAAGTGTCTTAACTTTCAGCAGTTTTTATATATATATATATATATTCATTTTGTTTTATTAATTTTCTAGCAAAAGTAAAAAGATCAACAAATACAAGAAATCCCAATCTTCAACACCTACAGATGCTGAGATGGAAAATCAAGTGATATCTCAGATGATAATATTCTGGTAACATCCATTGCTCATGCTTTCTTAAATAATCCTGAGCTCCAAGATCATTTATCAATTGCTATAAGAAAGATATAAAGGAGATCAACAGAGAGTAAGTACCATACTTTATTTATATTCTTGTTGATGAGGGTGCATCAAATGTTCCAAGGTTGAGGACCTGGATTGTCACTATAGTTAAAAGGTTCCATTTTCTGACATTTGTTACTGACAATTATTTTTAAATTCTGAATTGATTTTAGGGGTTCGTCTCAAGTCATAAGACTTGAGGTGGACCCATTTATAAGCAAAAGCCAAATGCACAACATTGCATTGTGCAACCTGTAATTTTTTTTCATATAGGACCTTTTTAACAATTAATTCTCTGCAGTGCATAAAGTGATTTGCAACAAAACAAGGAAATGTAAATAATGGCCTATTCATTTTCCTACTAGTAAAATATTTTTCAGTAAGCACCATGTACTTGTGCTCATAACAGTATAAACTGTGAAATTGTATTGTGATCTCTGTATTTATATTTTCAACCAAAATTTACTTTTACTTTATTCTTGGTTTGCATGGATGAGGTTAAAAGTTTTCAAGTTTTACAGCAGTGTTTTGTTTAGTAAATAGAGCAGTAATAACATAGGGACAGAGATTCCCAAACAAATTAAAAAATTATATGCAGTGTGATGCACCCCTAATCTTTTGTATATTATAGGTTTTCTTGTTCAAATATTCTATAAGGCAATGAAAATCTTGTTTGTGAAGGGTGAAGTTATCAGGTTTACTCTATTCAGGAAGTTCCAAATTAAAAATGAATTTCATTTCTGGTTTTTGAACAAGCAAATAAGGTGTGTTTGTTTAGAAAACAAAAGTACAAATGTATAACATTTCTTTAAAAATTTGTTACTTCTTAAATGTGGGTTTCAGTGTTTTACTAAATTTGTCACTCCTTCCAGAGAAGTACATGCTACAGTGCTTTGCCTGTAAATCAGCCTGTGACTAAAACCTTTCAAGATAAAGAAAATAATCAAAAACGACAACCTCTTGGAAACATAACAAATGCACAAGAAAGCAAGACCAGCTACTTAAAGGAGAATATTGGTTTATCGCGGATTGCCAATAAAACATTCTCATATGATACTAATCAAACATTAGTCATGGACAGAGTTAATGAAGAGCTGTATAGTCTTCCTGTAACAAGCACAGCATTAAGGGATAATAGACATGCAAGAAAGTCTACAAGATTATCAACCAAACAGAGTATCAACAGTGCAATGCTGAGGAAAGTTTCACTCAAGTCAGATTCTAGTAGAAGCTCTTCTCTATTCTTTGACATTGAAAGAAATGGAACAAATTCTTTAAATTGTGAGAGTATTAGCAGCACTGCTAATATTTCCAATAACGACTCTTCACCTGTCCTAAGGTTTCCTAAACTGAGAATAGAGCCACATTCAAGGAATGATGGTAATAAATCAAAAGAAAATGTTGAATTGAGAACTTCAGATAATACATTGGTACAAATAGAAAAGAGTTTAGGACAAGAAAAGAGCCAAATGCGAAGGTCTTCAAGAAGATCAGCAATTAAAGCAACTCAGCTAAACTTTGAGATCCTGAATGGAGAAAGTCCTGTCACAAACATGAACAAGACTCGAAGGTCATCACTTGCTACTACAAAGAAATACAAAGGTATGTAAAAGGGTTTATTTTTTGATTCATGGATAAAAGATGACAGTATAGTATTTTAATATATAATTTTATTTACTATTGTCTAGACTAATTAATCATAAAAATGCTTAAACCTCATTGCTTTCAGGAAATAAGAGTGTTCTTGCTGACAAGACAATGGAAAATTGGGTGCTAACGGTGAGCCCACGGTTACAACAAAAACACAACAGTGAGGTTCTTGACATCCTCAACACTGGCACTTTGATGAGACTGCAACAGCTGCCTACTGTTGGTCCCAAAACTGCTATGGTGATACACAATTTCAGGTTAGTGTTGATTGTGACATTTACTTGTTAATCATTGATCAGAAAGTGATGCTGAAGGGATTGGAATTTAAAAGATCTGGAAAAATGCAAAGTATGCATAACTAAACATTATATGACAAACTAATTACTGAAGACTGAACATCATGAAAAACACAAAATGCATGCACTAGGTCACTGGTCACATGTGGAATGACCAAAGTCCCAGGATCAAAACATTTCCAATAAAATGTCCTAGTATTTTCATTTTTGTCTTTTCCTAACTACTTATAGGAGAGGAGAGTTATTAAATGGAGAGTTAGAGGTATTGGGAAGATGGAGGGAATGTTTTGAGGAATTGTTAACCCTTTGACTGTCGTGGCCGTATATGTACATCTTACGAGGTACCGTGTTTGACGTATATTTATTTATTATTATCACACTGGCCGATTCCCACCAAGGCAGGGTGGCCCGAAAAAGAAAAACTTTCACCATCATTCACTCCATCACTGTCTTGCCAGAAGGGTGCTTTACACTACAGTTTTTAAACTGCAACATTAACATCCCTCCTTCAGAGTGCAGGCACTGTACTTCCCATCTCCAGGACTCAAGTCCGACCTGCCGGTTTCCCTGAACCCCTTCATAAATGTTACTTTGCTCACACTCCAACAGCACGTCAAGTATTAAAAACCATTTGTCTCCATTCACTCCTATCAAACACGCTCACGCATGCCTGCTGGAAGTCCAAGCCCGTCGCACACAAAACCTCCTTTACCCCCTCCCTCCAACCTTTCCTAGCCGACCCCTACCCCGCCTTCCTTCCACTACAGACTGATACACTCTGAAGTTATTCTGTTTCGCTCCATTCTCTCCACATGTCCGAACCACCTCAACAACCCTTCCTCAGCCCTCTGGACAACAGTTTTGGTAATCCCGCACCTCCTCCTAACTTCCAAACTACGAATTCTCTGCATTATATTCACACCACACATTGCTCTCAGACATGACATCTCCACTGCCTCCAGCCTTCTCCTCGCTGCAACATTCATCACCCATGCTTCACACCCATATAAGAGCGTTGGTAAAACTATACTCTCATACATTCCTCTCTTTGCCTCCAGGACAAAGTTCTTTGTCTCCACAGACTCCTAAGTGCACCACTCACCCTTTTCCCCTCATCAATTCTATGATTCACCTCATCTTTCATAGACCCATCCGCTGACATGTCCACCCCCAAATATCTGAATACATTCACCTCCTCCATACTCTCTCCCTCCAATCTGATATCCAATCTTTCATCACCTAATCTTTTTGTTATCCTCATAACCTTACTCTTTCCTGTATTCACTTTCAATTTTCTTCTTTTGCACACCCTACCAAATTCATCCACCAATCTCTGCAACTTCTCTTCAGAATCTCCGAAGAGCACAGTGTCATCAGCAAAGAGCAACTGTGACAACTCCCACTTTATGTGTGATTCTTTATCTTTTAACTCCACGCCTCTTGCCAAGACCCTCGCATTTACTTCTCTTACAACCCCATCTATATATATATTAAACAACCACGGTGACATCACACATCCTTGTCTAAGGCCTACTTTTACTGGGAAATAATTTCCCTCTTTCCTACATACTCTAACTTGAGCCTCACTATCCTCGTAAAAACTCTTCACTGCTTTCAGTAACCTACCTCCTACACCATACACCTGCAACATCTGCCACATTGCCCCCCTATCCACCCTGTCATACGCCTTTTCCAAATCCATAAATGCCACAAAGACCTCTTTAGCCTTATCTAAATACTGTTCACTTATATGTTTCACTGTAAACACCTGGTCCACACACCCCCTACCTTTCCTAAAGCCTCCTTGTTCATCTGCTATCCTATTCTCCGTCTTACTCTTAATTCTTTCAATAATAACTCTACCATACACTTTGCCAGGTATACTCAACAGACTTATCCCCCTATAATTTTTGCACTCTCTTTTATCCCCTTTGCCTTTATACAAAGGAACTATGCATGCTCTCTGCCAATCCCTAGGTACCTTACCCTCTTCCATACATTTATTAAATAATTGCACCAACCACTCCAAAACTATATTATGCAGAAAATTCGGAGTGTGGAAATTAGGAGAAGGTGTGGAGTTAATAAAAGTATTAGTCAGAGGGCAGAAGAGGGGTTGTTGAGGTGGTTTGGTCATTTAGAGAGAATGGATCACAGTAGAATGACATGGAAAGCATATAAATCTATAGGGGAAGGAAGGCGGGGTAGGGGTCGTCCTCGAAAGGGTTGGAGAGAGGGGGTAAAGGAGGTTTTGTGGGTAAGGGGCTTGGACTTCCAGCAAGCGTGCGTGAGCGTGTTAGATAGGAGTGAATGGAGACGAATGGAAACTTGGACCTGACGATCTGTTGGAGTGTGAGCAGGTAATATTTAGTGAAGGGATTCAGGAAACCGGTTATTTTCATATAGTCGGACTTGAGTCCTGGAAATGGGAAGTACAATGCCTGCACTTTAAAGGAGGGGTTTGGGATATTGGCAGTTTGGAGGGATATGTTGTGTATCTTTATATGTTTATGCTTCTAGACTGTTGTATTCTGAGCACCTCTGCAAAAACAGTGATAATGTGCGAGTGTGGTGAAAGTGTTGAATGATGATGAAAGTATTTTCTTTTTGGGGATTTTCTTTCTTTTTTGGGTCACCCTGCCTCGGTGGGAGACGGCCGACTTGTTGAAAAAAAAAAAAAAAAAAAATCTTTATCCCATCAATCCCAGCTGCCTTACCCCCTTTCATTTTACCTACTGCCTCACGAACTTCCCCCACACTCACAACTGGCTCTTCCTCACTCCTACAAGATGTTGTTCCTCCTTGCCCTATACACGAAATCACAGCTTCCCTATCTTCATCAACATTTAACAATTCCTCAAAATATTCCCTCCATCTTCCCAATACCTCTAACTCTCCATTTAATAACTCTCCTCTCCTATTTTTAACTGACAAATCCATTTGTTCTCTAGGCTTTCTTAACTTGTTAATCTCACTCCAAAACTTTTTCTTATTTTCAACAAAATTTTGTTGATAACATCTCACCCACTCTCTCATTTGCTCTCTTTTTACATTGCTTCACCACTCTCTAACCTCTCTCTTTTTCTCCATATACTCTTCCCTCCTTGCATCACTTCTACTTTGTAAAAACTTCTCATATGCTAACTTTTTCTCCCTTACTACTCTCTTTACATCATCATTCCACCAATCGCTCCTCTTCCCTCCCACACCCACTTTCCTGTTAACCACAAACTTCTGCTGAACACTAACACTACATTTTTAAACCTACCCCATACCTCTTCGACCCCATTGCCTATGCTCTCATTAGCCCATCTATCCTCCAATAGCTGTTTATATCTTACCCTAACTGCCTCCTCTTTTAGTTTATAAACCTTCACCTCTCTCTTCCCTGATGCTTCTATTCTCCTTGTATCCCATCTACCTTTTACTCTCAGTGTAGCTACAACTAGAAAGTGATCTGATATATCTGTGGCCCCTCTATAAACATGTACATCCTGAAGTCTACTCAACAGTCTTTTATCTACCAATACATAATCCAACAAACTACTGTCATTTCGCCCTACATCATATCTTGTATACTTATTTAATCCTCTTTTTCTTAAAATATGTATTACCTATAACTAAACCCCTTTCTATACAAAGTTCAATCAAAGGGCTCCCATTATCATTTACACCTGGCACCCCAAACTTACCTACCACACCCTCTCTAAAAGTTTCTCCTACTTTAGCATTCAGGTCCCCTACCACAATTACTCTCTCACTTGGTTCAAAGGCTCCTATACATTCACTTAACATCTCCCAAAATCTCTCTCTCTCCTCTGCATTCCTCTCTTCTCCAGGTGCATACACGCTTATTATGACCCACTTCTCGCATTCAACCTTTACTTTAATCCACATAATTCTTGAATTTACACATTCATATTCTCTTTTCTCCTTCCATAACTGATCATTCAACATTACTGCTACCCCTTCCTTTGCTCTAACTCTCTCAGGTACTCCAGATTTAATCCCATTTATTTCCCCCCACCGAAACTCCCCTACCCCCTTCATCTTTGTTTCGCTTAGGGCCAGGACATCCAACTTCTTTTCATTCATAACATCAGCAATCATCTGTTTTTTGTCATCCGCACTACATCCACGCACATTTAAGCATCCCAGTTTTATAAAGTTTTTCTTCTCGTTTTTAGTAAATGTCTACAGGAGAAGGGGTTACTAGCCCATTGCTCCCGGCATTTTAGTCGCCTCATACGACACGCATGGCTTACGGAGGAAAGATTCTTTTCCACTTGACGTATATATACTCATAAATTCTAGCGGCTTCAAATCAAGCAGGAGAAAGCTGGTAGGCCCACATGTGAGAGAATGGGTCTGTGTGGTCAGTGTGCACCATATAAAAAAAATCCTGGAGCACTCAGTGCATAATGAGAAAAAAAAAACTCCGACCGTTGTTTTTTTTTTTTTTTTTAATTAAAATGCTGACTTTGTGGTCTATTTTCGTATAGTATTTATGGTTGTATTCTCGTTTTCTTGGTCTCATTTGATAGAATGGGAAACATATTATAGAAATAGAAGTGATTTTTATTGATTTTACTGTAAAAAGAACCTGGAAATGGAGCTCAAAGTAGGGGAAATGTTTGATTTTTGCCGATGTTCAAAAGTAAACAAATGATGTCATTGTCCAATAAATGTCCAACTAGCCATTCTAATATGCAGTCATGAATGGGTTGATGTTATTTATACAATTATTACAGTATTGCAGTAGTCTGCATAATAGTAAATCTTTTATTTTTTGTTTGAATAAAAATTCAAAATAGAAAGCAAGAGTAATATCAGAGGGGCCTGGAGACATGACTGATGAACAAAGAAAATGTTATTTTAGAGCCAGGAATGTCTGCATTGTTCATTCTGGACCTTATTTTGAAATTGTCATATTTTTTAATTTTTGTGAAATTGGCCAAATTGCAAATTTCTGACCACGTTATTGGGTAGTTGAAATCGGTAAATGGGCAATTTCTTGTACTCAGTCGATAGAAAAAAATGGAGTTCTAAAGAAATAGCTATGAGTTTGGTCGACTGGAACAATGGAATTAGCCGAAAATAGGGCTCAAAGTGGGCAAAATCGCCGATTTGTAAATGTAGCCGAAGTCGCTAACTTCGCGAGAGCGTAATTCCGTCAGTTTTCCATCAAATTTCGTTTTTTTTTGATGTCATTATGATCGGGAAAAGATTCTTTATCATTTCATCAGTTTTTTTTTTTTTTTTTTTTTTTTTTTTTTTTTTTTTTTTTTTTTTTTTTTTTTTTTGCAACACCAGGAGACATCTCAGGATTGGGGTTTGCGACAGTCAAGGGGTTAATAATTGACGTGCCGTTGGAGTGTGAGCAAAGTAACATTTATGAAGGGGTTCAGGGAAACTGGCAGGCTGGACTTGAGTCCTGGAGATGGGAAGTACAGTGCCTGCACTCTGAAGGAGGGGTGTTAATGTTGCAGTTTAAAAACTGTAGTGTAAAACACCCTTCTGGCAAGACAGTGATGGAGTGAATGATGGTGAAAGTTTTTCTTTTTCGGGCCACCCTGCCTTGGTGGGAATCGGCCAGTGTGTTAATAATAATAAAAATTGTTGGTAGTGTATCACATACCATTTTTACCACCCTGGACATGAGGCTTCTGTAATTACAAACAGGTAATCACAAATTTATCTACATAAACAAAGGTTTCTATTTTGCTGGATACAATTGAAGTGGGAAGTACAATACCTGCACTTTAAAGGAGGGATTTGGGATATTTGCTGTTAGGAGTGGCATCTGAATTATCATATCTGCATGCCTCTGCAAAGACAGTGATTGTGTGTGAATGATAGTGAAAGTGTTTCTTTTTTGGGTCGCCTTGTCTCGGTAGGCGATGGCCAGCATGTTAAAAAAAAAAAATGGAGTACACAAATCAGTGTTCAGTGATGATGGAAATTAAAATTTTTATTTTGTATTTTAAGACATTTTTTATTCTATATTTGTGGGTTATAAAGACAGAATTAGTGACCATTGACTCTCTTCACTAACAAGTAACATTTCTCCACTAAGTAGACAGGCAGCATTTTATTTTCCTGGAAATAATAGTTTTATTATCTTTGGTAGTTGAAGTAGCACATTGTCAGCTAGCTTAAAGACAGATGAGTTGAAGAATAATCTTTTATTAGAATGTTTTGCTCTGTGTTTAACTCTACATACAGTAAAGCAAATGTCCCAGTAAAAATCTGTCCTGCAAATTGTCTGTCTTCATAGTCATGAGGGGTGAACTTGAGCTGTTTGCCAAAATCAACTACTGGTATCTTGATGTGGCCAAGAGCAGACAAGAGCATAGTAGAGGTTCAGTTGTATTATGATGTCTGTTTAACTGATATACAGCACCAGTTCTAATAAATATCTTATTGCAGAGAGCTCTGTGGCCCATTTAGTTCATTTGAAGAGTTGCAAAATGTGCCTGGCCTTTCTTGTGGCCAGTACACACGGTTTATGAAGGTAAGTTTAATCTCAAAAAAATTTCTTTGTTGAATTATTAAAGCTGTAGGATGGCAATTTTAGGAATTAATCTAACAAATTTTCACAGGTTATAATGTTTTTTGGCTGAAAATTGACCATTTATTCTAAATTTTGACTAGGGTAGGCTACACTACACTTGGCCACAGTGTGTGGTCATTGATAGCTTAATTAAATTAAGCTTAGAACTTTCTGGTAGTGGATTCAAAGAGTGAAGTAAAGATAAATATTAGCAGGAAAAGTTTTTTCAACATTTTGCTTTGTTTGCAGTACAGCTTTATCAAGTCATGGTCTGATAATGCACCATACAGTGTTATGTTGTCCCAGTAAAACCTCACTCTGCAAAGTGTGTCTTTTCTTTGACTTTATTGTAGTATGGAAGAGAATGGAGTGTGGAATTGGTGTATGATACCAGAAATGTTGCTAATACAAATTGATTAATGAATTTGAAGAGGGCACTGAAGCTAGAAATTGTTTTGTAAAATTTATAGTGCAACAATAAACATAATAGAATGAAAAGTATACTGTGAACAAGTTTTATGAGAGTGATGAATTAGTTTAAAAAAATTTGGATTTTTCTTTTTCATTGAAGCATGTAATAAAAATATTTTATTTTCAAAACCTATTTAAATGGCTTACAGGTGAAATATGGAATACTGTAAATAACACTTTGGTAAAGTGGATAATTTTGACATGTTTTGCCCACATATGTGAAGTGTAAAGATCTTTAAGTCTTTTAATTATTTTTTTTTTTTTCAGGCTAACTTGGTTACCCACTCCTCTTCCTAGTTATCTGCTGCATAACCTACACTAGAAATTTCCATATTCCTATTTTGCTGATATCATCACTTTAGAGTTAATCTTAATTTTGGTTCACTAATATTTTGTAAATAGTAGTTGTGTTTTTGAGTGTCACTTCAATATTTGTGTTACATCTCTTGTAAATATCTTTTCTGAATTTGAGTGTAATTCTTTTTTTGAGACTGCAATATATTTTTTTTTTTTTTCAACAAGTCGGCCATCTCCCACCGAGGCAGGGTGACCCAAAAAAGAAAGAAAATCCCCAAAAAGAAAATGCTTTCATCATCATTCAACACTTTCACCACACTCACACATTATCACTGTTTTTGCAGAGGTGCTCAGAATACAACAGTTTAGAAGCATATACGTATAAAGATACACAACATATCCCTCCAAACTGCCAATATCCCAAACCCCTCCTTTAAAGTGCAGGCATTGTACTTCCCATTTCCAGGACTCAAGTCCGACTATATGAAAATAACCGGTTTCCCTGAATCCCTTCACTAAATATTACCTTGCTCACACTCCAACAGATCGTCAGGTCCCAAGAACCATTCGTCTCCACTCACTCCTGTCTAACACACTCACGCACGCTTGCTGGAAGTCCAAGCCCCTCGCCCACAAAACCTCCTTTACCCCCTCTCTCCAACCCTTTCGAGCGACGCCCTACCTCGCCTTCCTTCCCCTATAGATTTATATGCTTTCCATGTCATTCTACTTTGATCCATTCTCTCTAAATGACCAAACCACCTCAACAACCCTTCTTCTGCCCTCTGACTAATATTTTATTAACTCCACACCTTTTCCTAATTTCCACACTCCGAATTTTCTGCATAATATTTGCACCACACATTGCCCTTCGACAGGACATCTCCACTGCCTCCAACCGTCTCCTCGCTGCTGCGTTTACCACCCAAGCTTCACAACCATATAAGAGTGTTGGTACTACTATACTTTCATGCATTCCCTTCTTTGCCTCCATAGATAACGTTTTTTGACTCCACATATACCTCAATGCACCACTCACCTTTTTTCCCTCATCAATTCTATGATTAACCTCATCCTTCATAAATCTATCCGCCGACACGTCAACTCCCAAGTATCTGAAAACATTCACTTCTTCCATACTCCTCCTCCCCAATTTGATATCCAATTTTTCTTTATCTAAATCATTTGATACCCTCATCACCTTACTCTTTTCTGTGTTCACTTTCAACTTTCTACCTTTACACACATTCGAATTCACGTGTGACAAATTATGTATACAGTGGGAATTACTTAATGTGTTTACTTTGATGTAAGAACACCAGGAAGATGGGAATTGTAATGAAAGGATGTAAGATGAATGAGAGATTTAGATGTTAGATAGTCATTTTTTTTTTCCACAATTAGTTTTTTTTTTTTTTTCATAAAAAATGTTGACAAGCAAATTACTGCATTTTCACCTGATAGAATTCATTTAGATTGCAACAGATCTCTGGCCAAATTTCCAGTAGCCATTAAAGTGAGATGTAAAACAAATTTTTTTATTACAGCGATGTACATGTATAGAGTAAAGAACATGAAAGTGAATTGCTAGGTAGAATTCACAGTAAATATTGTATTCAAATTATTTCTTGAGTGACATTCTTGTAATGACCAAATTTCTAGTTTTGTTCAAAAAATTGAGAACTAGAAAAGTTGCATCAATAATGTCTGCACAAATGTGAAACAAAAAAGTGAATAAATGTAAATGAGTTTTTAAGAAGTCCATTCTTTTTTGTAGCGTGAGGATATGCGTATACAAAATACTGTCAAATATATATGACACTACAGTGTAACAAAGAGTTAACAAATTTATTAGCAAGGTTTAAGTGAAATGAAAACCACAAGAAGAAAACTGAGTTTTTTCCTTGCAAAATTGTGCTGTATAATATTCTGCTTATTTGTGTAAATTTTATTAAAAATAAAATAGGCAGTGATTTTTTCTTTAAAATAAGGTTAATAAATGGAATGTAGCATTTTTTTCATTTTTTTTATTATTATTTTAACCATTTGTAACAAATAAGACGAAACTCATTAAACTGATTAGGTCTCGAGTGCTATTTCTTTTGTTTTGGGAGAATTCCTTTTTGTACTTAGACAAAAGAAGTGTAATGCCTTGACAAATTTATTTAACAAGTGTAAATAAACATTGATCATTGACCTGAGCAAACCCACATGAAGATCATGGAATGAGTATAGTAAGTCCCCGTCTTATGACGTTAATGCACCATATACACCCATGTTATAATCAGAGATGCATTCCCTAACCATAATCAGTACAGATATGTTGAAAATTTAAATTGGATACAAAAGTATTAGATTCCCCAGCTCCCATCTCAGGTTATAACATGGGCTTTTGCTGAAAAATGTTATTCACTTAATAGGTTATAATGCAATCCTCTTAACCTTTTCCTTGGTCCATATCTAAGATTAAGCTGGGCTTCTTGACTTGTTTCATTTGCTCCATATTGTCAGGTGTTGCTTGCCCTCTTTGGTTTCTTCCCCATATAATTTAATTTTCTGTTTTATTTTCGTGTGGGTTTGTATGTGAGTTGATTATAAATAAACAGATACATTAGCAATAATTTGATGTATGTGTCATAGATTTATATACATTAAGGACACACACAGCAAGTACCTAAATGCAAATTTAGGGATTCCTTATATGGTAATTTATATTTACTACACAAATATTGTTTCTTTTTGTATAAATATATTGTACTGTATTATTTTATTTAGAAATAAAAATGCCGTACTGTATTCTTAAAATGTTTTTAAATTGTCTTTGAAGCGTTTTACTTAAATGATTATAGAGCTTCCCAGTGTAAAGTGATGTTAGGTTGATTTTGAGGCACATTCAGAATGTTTGCCAGAAAGTATCATTAGTGCCTTTTTTTTTTTTCCCCCAATTTTTTTTTTTTTTCTCTCAACAAGTCGGCCGTCTCCCACCTAGGCAGGGTGACCCAAAAAAAGAAAGAAAATCCCCAAAAAGAAAATGCTTTCATCATCATTCAACATTTTCACCACACTCACACATAATCACTGTTTTTGCAGAGGTGCTCAGAATACAACAGTTTAGAAGCATATACGTATAAAGATATACAACATATCCCTCCAAACTGCCAATATCCCAAACTCCTCCTTTAAAGTGCAGGCATTGTACTTCCCATTTCCAGGACTCAAGTCCGACTATATGAAAATAACAGGTTTCCCTGAATTCCTTCACTAAATATTACCTTGCTCACACTCCAACAGATCGTCAGGTTCCAAGTACCATTCGTCTCCATTCACTCCTATCTAACACGCTCATGCATGCTTGCTGGAAGTCCAAGCCCCTTGCCCACAAAACCTCCTTTACCCCCTCTCTCCAACCCTTTCGAGGACGACCCCTACCTCGCCTTCCTTCCCCTATAGATTTATATGCTTTCCATTTCATTCTACCTTGATCCATTCTCTCTAAATGACCAAACCACCTCAACAACCCCTCTTCTGCCCTCTGACTAATACTTTTATTAACTCCACACCTTTTCCTAATTTCCACACTCTGAATTTTCTGCATAATATTTACACCACACATTGCCCTTAGACAGGACATCTCCACTGCCTCCAACCGTCTCCTTGCTCCTGCATTTACCACCCAAGCTTCACACCCATTTAAGAGTGTTGGTACTACTATACTTTCATACATTCCCTTCTTTGCCTCCATAGATAATGTTTTTTGATTCCACATATACCTCAATGCACCACTCACCTTTTCTTCCTCATGAATTCTATGATTAACCTCATCCTTCATAAATCCATCCGCCGACACATCAACTCCCAAGTATCTGAAAACATTCACTTCTTCCATACTCCACCCCAATTTGATATCCAATTTTTCTTTATCTAAATCATTTGATACCCTCATCACCTTACTCTTTTCTATGTTCACTTTCAACTTTCTACCTTTACACACATTCCCAAACTCATCCACTAACCTTGGCAATTTTTCTTTAGAATCTCCCATAAGCACAGTATCATCAGCAAAAAGTAACTGTGTTAATTCCCATTTTGAATTTGATTCCCCATAAATTAATCCCACCCCTCTCCCGAACACCCTAGCATTTACTTCTTTTACAACCTTATCTATAAATATATTAAACAACCATGGTGACATTACGCATCCCTGTCTAAGACCTACTTTTACCAGGAAGTAGTCTCTCTCTCTTCTACACACCCTAACCTGAGCCTCACTATCCTCATAAAAACTCTTTACAGCATTTAGTAACTTACCACCCATTCCATATACTTGCAACATCTGCCACATTGCTCCCCTATCCACTCTATCATATACCTTTTCTAAATCCATAAATGCAATAAAAACTTTTCTACCTTTATCTAAATACTGTTCACATATATGCTTCAATGTAAACACTTGATCTACACATCCCCTACCCACTCTGAAACCTTGCTCATCTGCAATCATACATTCTGTCTTACCTCTAATTTTTTCAATTATAACCCTACCGTACACTTTTCCAGGTATACTCAGTAAACTTATTCCTCTATAATTTATACAATCTCTTTTGTCCCCTTTCTCTTTATATAAAGGGACTATACATGCTCTCCGCCAATCCCTAGGTACCTTCGCCTCTTTCATACATTTATTAAACAAAAGTACCAACCACTCCAACACTATATCCCCCCCTGCTTTTAACATTTCTGTCATGATCCCATCAGTTCCAGCTGCTTTACCCCCTTTCATTCTACGTAATGCCTCGCGTATCTCCCCAAATTATTTGATAAAATTTGAAACATCACTTAATTTGTTTTGACATAATGACTACTCACTATTTTTTTGTATCTATTTCGTAATTTTTTTCATACATAGACAGGGTCCTCTAGGGAAAGGTGTGGGGGACCCATAGCCTTAGAGAAGTAAATAAAAAAGAGCTAGGAAAAATAATGGGATTTCTTCTTGAGTGCATGGAGATGAGTGGTTTTTAATGGACATGCTGTTGAGTGTGAGTAGGGTAACTATTATGAAGGGATTCTCCGAAGATTGTAATTGAGTGAACGTCGGCCTTCCCAGTACAGTACCTCCAACTCCCCATCAAAATTCCCCTCTTCTGTTTTTAACTATCAAATCCATTTGTTCCCTATGCTTTCTCAACCTATTTTTCTCACTCCAAAACTTTTATTCTCAGCAAAATTTGTCGACAAACTCACCTATTCTCTCATTTGCTCTCCTTTTACATTCCTTCACTATGTTAATCTCTCTTGCTCTCCATATTCTCCACCCTCCTTGTATCGCTTCTGCTTTGTAAAAATGACTCGCATGGTAACTTTTCTTCCTTACCACTACCTTTACCTCATTCTACCAGTCACTCCTCTTCCCTCCTGCATCCACCCTCCTATATCAATAAGCTATTGCTGAACATTCTAACACTGCATTCTTAACTACCCTATACCTCTTCAACCTCATTATCTATACTCTCACTAACCCATCTTTCTCCCAGTAGTTAACATATGTCTAACCCTAGCTACCTCCTCTAGTTTGTAAACTTTTACAACTAAATGATCTGATATATCTGTTGCCCCTTTATAAACATGGTGAATTTTAAGTACAAATAGGAAGCATGTCAGTTTGGCACTCAGCAGATGGAGGATCAAGCCTCCACCATGTCTTGCACTGTGGCCCACATGGGTTTAGCACTTAACATGAATTAAATTTAAAAAAAAACTAACTTGCACATCCAGAAGTCAGCCCATCAACCTTTTATCCACCAATACATAATCTAATAAACTCTTGTTATTATGCACTATATCATATCTTGTATAATTATTCATCCTTTTTCTTACAATATGTACATATTACCTATTATCAAACCTCTTTCTATACAGAGTTCAAAGGCCCCCCATGATCATTTACCCCTGGCAACCCAAACTTACCTACTACATTCCCTTATACAGTTTCTCCTACTTGAGCATTTAGGTCCTCCACCACAATTACTCTCTTGGCTTTCAAAGCACCTTTAAACTCTTGCTTAACATCTCCCAAAATCTCTCTCTCCTCTCTAGATGCATAAACACTTACCTTAACCCACTTTTTGCATCTGACCATAATTTTGCTCCACATTATCATTAAATTCATTCATTTATATTCCCTTTTTCCTGCCATAACTGATCCTTAACTCTAACTCTCTCAGATACCCTTGATTTAATCCCATTTATTTCTCCCCATGACTCCTACCTTCTTCAGCTTTGTTTTGCTTAGAGTTAGGACATCCAACTTTTCATCCATAACATTCACAATCATCTCTTATCATCTGCACTACATCCACACAAGTTCAAATATCCCAACTTAGTTTTCTTGTTTTTAGTAATTTATACAGGAGAAGGGTTACTAGCCCATTGCTCTTGTTATTTTAGTCTGCTTTTATGACACACGACTTACTGAGGAATGATTCTTATTCAGCTTCTCCATGCAGATGAAGGGACATAAATAAGAGCCAGAAAATTTTAAGAAAATAGAAGAAAACTCAGATGCATATATACATACATGCATGTCCCTTACTTAACTTCCCTCCTTGCTGATGACCCCACCTTTGACACAGACTCCCTCTTTGACCTTTTGTCAGTAACAGATTTATTACACAGCCTTTGATTATACCTGCTTTAGCACTGCAGTGACCTTAAAACCTCTACCCTGCAGTACTGTATGACCCTTGTGGTTTAGTGCTTAGTTTTGATTATAATAATAATGTACATGCAAGTGTAGCTTGACCCAAGTTTAAGTAGAAGTAGCAAGATGAACCTGTTATCTTGCATGTCTATGAAACAGAAAGATAAAGACACCAGCAATCATATTATTGTGTAAAACAATTATAGGTTTCTGTTTCACACATTTTTTCCTATTTTGTACTCTTATCATTTTTATTGCTAATGTTACCCATTTACAGTTTCAAGTCAAGGATGTAGAGGATATAAAAGTGCAATGATTTTAATCTTAATTTATTTTGAACATGGCTTGTAGACAAGTTTGTGCTCTAGCTGGTAGAGCATTACCTAGACCAGCAAATATGTCTTTTACATTGCAACTTTCTCAAGAGCTGGTCTGCTTCTACTTAATAATTTTGTATTATGCCCTTAGCAAAGTGTGATGGACAATTTGGGAGTTGTTTAGTCAGTTAAGTTTTTATGCTTTATAGATGGTTATATTCCTGTGAATAAGCATGGTATTCAAACTTAAGTTTGCACCAAAATTTGTTTAGGAACCAAACTTAACCTTAACAAAATTTACATAACCTGTTACAGCTTAACCCTACCTAATGTAGGTAAGGTTTGGTTTTTTATGCCAGCAATATTTGTGAACTCCAGATTGACTCAGTGTTTTAGCAAAATAAGAAAATACTGTAAGCTTTGGGAAAATTATTCATGCTAACTTCTTAGTTCAAAAGTAATGCTTTAAAAGCACAACATAATACATATATATGAAAAGTAAGAGAAATGGTTAATGATTATAAATGCTCCAGGCTGGTGGTGATGCTAAGATAATTCTCAGTGTCAAAAGACACAAAACAAGGTAAACAGACGTGTTAAAAAAAAAAATATACAGTAGAACCCCTGTATCCACTGATTCGGTATCAGCGGTTTCAGTTATCCATGGTTTACTGTGGCCCAAAAATAGCTCTTAATTTGCATAATAATGGCCCCAAAATGCAAAAGTAGAGAAACTGGCAGTTTTTGAGGTCTAAGAGTAGCCATGAAGTGCTTCCCATTAGTGAAAAAGTGATAATTCTCCACTTGTACATAATTTATCAATTAAACTTTATAAGTATGTATAGGACTTTCATATAGGGTTTGCTACTATCCTCGGCTTCGGTATCCATGGCAGGTCCTTGGAACATATCCCCAGCGGATACGGGGGTCCTACTGTATGTTACATATACAGTACAGTATATTAGTTTAAAAAATATTGAAATATATTATTGTCTATTGTATCATTGATCTTGAGACAATTATTATTCAAAAAAAGTGCCAGTATGGGTCAGATGAATCTCTTCAGGAGGAATGTACCAGTAAGAATTTCAGCTGTTATATACACTATGATTTATTACAAATAGAACATAACCTTAATGTAACAGGGTTTAGCCTATAGTAAATTCAATATGCTTATTAACAAGAACTGATGACCTAAACAGATGTAATGCTGCTTTTTTAATAAACTCTACTAAAATATATTTAACATATCTAAAATTTCCTAATTATGGAAGAACACAGTGGCATGTATATGTATATAAGCCAAGAATTGTGTAAATGAATATGCATATATAGAATGAGGACACTAAAATTTATGCAGTAGGATATTTTTGAAAAGAAGACATAAGTTTACTAGTGGTTGCCAGATGGGCAGTGTTATCTAATAACAAGAGGCCAACACATAGTATTAACCCCTTCCAGAAAAAATTACTGAAAAATGCTTCCCTGAGATTATTTTTATTTCCATGGATATCCTTAAGCAGGATAGAAATGCTGGAGAGTTAGTGATGCCTAGCTCTTCATGTTGATGGTTGGAGGGAAGATCAGTTCTCCAGTAATGTCTTTGGTATTGAAACATCTGAATTCCATTAAATATTTCAACTGCATGGGCCCTTGTAAGTAGTTCAAATATTCATTATCATGTGTAAAGTTCTCTTTAATGGGGGACTTTATCCAAGGGATTTGAGCTACACTCAGATCAAACCTGATTACATCCCATTCATCAGGAGACATATGGCCCAAATGGGTCTAGCACTTCCCGATTGTAATATATAACCCTTCACACAGGTTTAGTGCTTCCCCATGAATATATACAGTATATTTTGTTATCAATTGAAGCTTTTTTTAAGAATTTGGTCTAGTTTGTCCTAAAACACCCAGTGATTGATAAATATTTAACACTGTTCTCTCTTGAAATGAAAGTTTGAACCATTTACAACATATAACTTTTAGTGGAGCTACTCTCCCTTCCTTGTTATATATCCGACTGATTTTGAGGGCTTTTCTAACCTACCAGCCTGACCTTTGGACAAGCATCCTTGATTGCCTGTTCAACCAAGCTGTTCCTTTTAGCTGCCTGCTGGCCCACATAGCTATCACAAACTGGTTGATCTGGCACTTGGCAGAGGTAGTAATCCAGTCTCCTCTTGAAGATGGATCCAACCTGTTTACCTCCCATTCCCCACGTACTGTGACCCCTCAAGGTCTAGCACTTCCCAAAGAATACTAATGTTATATATAATACAGTAAATTTTATATTCAAAGGTCTGAGCCATTTACAACATATAACTTTCTCTTGAAATGGAGGTCTAAGCCATTTACAACAAACTAACTAATGCTAGAAAAGGTGAATAGTCTTAATAACAGGTGGATGTACTCTGGTACATTAATATGAACAGTTATTGTGCAGATATAAGAATGATAGTTACCTTGTGAATTCTTTAGTTTCTTAAATGTAATACTGGTTCTGTTACTATTTCTATAACAATGCCAAATGAATAGAACTTGCAGATTGAGATTCTTTCATTTATAAGTTAATTTATGTGCATTGGATAGTTTCTCTATTCACAGTCATATTCCTTAGCCTAAAATACCAAGAAATTGAAAAGGAAAGTGTTAGTCAAACAAAACATATGTACATATTTTTTTCAGTATGGCATTTGAGACGGCTAATACCTGTTCTATTTTTATACTCTGAAAATGCTTCAGGGATGATTTCGGTGATAACAATTTACAAATGAGCTACTGTACAGTGTTATGTTCTCGATTCTGCATCTCATACCTTTCAAGGGAAGTGCCCATAAGCTAGTGAAGGGCTCCTGATTCAAGGAATTAGGTATTACCCTTCCCTTCCATTCCCAAAGGGTTGTATGATCCCTGTGGGTTTAGCACCTCCCCATAATATAGTAATAACTAAAAGATGACTGACTGTAGATTGTTTTCCTCAAGATGCATAAAGAACAACTTCGATATAACAGTAATAACTCATCAAGGGGGAGGCACCTTGATGTTGAAGGGCTCTTAATCCAAGGAACTGAACCAAACCTGATTACCTCCCATTCCCCAGGCACTATATGACCCTCCATGGGTTTAGTGCTTCCCTATGAATATAACATTAATTAGAATACATTGCTTTCTCAAACATTTTAAAGGTCGAGAAACAATGAGAGTGCAGTATGTGATTCCTGAAGATGCTGTATCAAACTCTGGGGTTTACAGCTTCTCCATAAATATAATATTCATGATCTCAAGATCAGTTGGGGAGAAACATCTCAAAAAATTTTAATTCCTGAATACAGAGCATGGACATTAAAAATATTCTAGAGAAAAAATTACAATTGGTCACTTGGCGATAATGCCGAGGTTTTGGCCATGGTATCACGGGCATGGAGGCAGGATTACAGCCTAGCATTAGGCCAGGAGCTAGGCTGCAACCTAACAGCAGTCCAGGTGCTAGGCTACAACAAAACCATGCAAGTTCTGAGCACTAGCTGATGTGTTAGTCGTAAGTGCACACACCTCAGCTCTTCTATTTCTGAGGGCCTGTAAAAAGAGAGAGAAATTATTTAATGGGGTTCATTATATTATAACTATTGGTGCTGTATAAACCTTTCAGGTTTGGCACTTTCATGTGAATATAATAATTAAAATATATACTTACACATGAATATTGTCTGATTTTTATCAAACTTAAAGTTGCTCGTAGTATTGTATAACTATGTGACTAGAAAATACTTAAATTATGTCACTTACAAATACTAAAACTAACACACTAATAAGAATAAAGTGACAATACTACAGCTGGAACAGTTCACACCCCATTAATTTGATAGTGAAAACCCACACTCTTTCTGTGTCTTAGACTCATGACTTTATAAAGGTCCAAGACAGACCTAAATATTGTTCAGTTTTTGTTCCTACTTTGTGGGTTAGTTATCAACTCATACTAAAGCTAAGTGACCCTTCTGGGTTTAGCACTTCACTAGTATGATGATAAAGCTAAGCAAGTTAGGATAATATTACAGGCAATTCTAGTTATGAAAGTAGTGCTGGTGTGGTCTAGGCATCTAGTCTATTTTTTTTTAATGGCATACACTTATACTGAAGGACTCTTGATCTAAAGCAGCACTAAAACTACCCGGAGGGGCTCTTTCTTGATCCAAGGAATTGGACCTACCCTCCCTTGAATCAAACTTTATTGCCTCAAATTCCCCAATGTTTTGTAGAGCCCCTATGGGTTTAGCACAACCATTACTAAATAATGGGGATACCCAAATTTTAGTACATATATTTTGGCCCTAGTCAGTTTAGAGTTTTCATTGATTATAATAATAGTACATATTTTGGAATATGCAGTAATAATGTCCTCCCTTTTCTTGGGTCAAACGTAATTGCCTCACATTCTTGAGGAATACATTTAGTGCATCCCCATAATACAATAATCTAGTCTATGTTTAGTGTCTACACTGGAGGTGCAGGAATATGCTAGGCATCTAGTCTGTACTCATTGTCTACAGTAGACGTGACTGGAGGTGCAGAAGTTAAGCATATAGTCTGTATTCAGTGCCTACATTAGACATGACTGGAGGTGCAGGAGTGAGCTGGGTATCTAGTCTATGTTGGGTGCCTACTCAGGGCATGACTGGAGGTGCAGGAGCTAGGCATCTAGGCTATGTTGAGTGCCTACACTAGATATAACTCGTACCTCCGCCCGCTGTCACTTGCGTTCCACTGGAACCAGATTTGTGTGTTAGTTAACACCACTTCAACACTGTATCTTGTAAAGTTTTTGAAAATAAATTATGCTTGTGCTTACAATGACCTGTAACTAAAGAGCAAAAATTAAAAGAAAACAAACTATGCGTAACAATAAACGTCAGTCTATGAGTCTGTATTGAAGGTAGAAGAGCAAGAAGATACACGTATTATCTTAGGAAAAACTAATGACACATCTGGCAATTTCAGTGATGATTGGTCTTGACATCCAGGCTGGAGGTTTTGTATGTATAAGTTACGGGTTTCGAGCGCTCCCCACGAATGTGCTGTGAAGTGTATAGGTGAGGGAGGTTGACGATATAGTTTCTTTGGCAGGAATACCAGATGGCTTCGGCCCTACCTTTAGTTGACTCTTTTCAAGAAGAAATAATTCAAGAACAGTCAGTTTGATATCAAAGGCTAATGCTGACAGGCGATACAGAATGCCAAAAAATGGAATCGAGTAACGCTCAAACGTGTGGTGAATGATACAACTTATAAAAGTGCTGAGTGTTAAATCGTCTCATTCTAATCTAGATTACATGCTGGATTATGTGGATGTGGGATGGAGATTTCGTGCGGGCTAAGAAGGGAATTAGGCTGACACTATGAGGCGCTCTTAATGTCTGGTTCCCGGCGAGGAAAGCGCCGTCTGATTCTCTCCAACTGCCATAGTGTGCTGGGTCCATAATTGTGGATTGTGTCAGCACCACTGGAAGGGGCATCATTAAGGTTAGGTAGAGAAGATTTAGTTAGGCTTTCCAGTCTGTTAAAAGTTAGTGAGGTAGTTGGGGTTACGCCTTCTGAAAGTAGGCGGATTCTATCTGGCACTGTAGAGTACCTTCTGGTGCCAGTCGAGTAAGTGCTCAAGGTAAAATTGCTGATTCTCCATCCGCTGTCACTATAGTCACTAGTCGGTGGGTTACTACTGTGAGGACTATGGGAAATGCTGCCGAGAGTGCCTTCGTAACTATTAGTCACTGCACTAGGTCTCACCAGGATGGGTGGGTAGCTAATAACATCGTCTTTAATAAAGTAATCTCTTCTGGAATCGCTAAATTTCCTGGCAAGATTAGCATAATCACCGTCATATATTGCACCACTTCCATTAGTACCGCCGTCATTGTTAACAGAATAAAAAAGCGAAAAGTCAGAAGAATCAAAATCGCCTGTGACATCAGTCCATGTAAGCGAAGGATCGAGTGGAACAGTGTAAGGACCAGCACAGGGGTTAATAGTGTCGAAAGTATTTCCCAGTGTGGAGTACGAGAGGGTACATGGTTGTAACACTGGAGGTGTGGTGATAAGGGCTGTGACTGGCCATTGAGAGGACTGGGAGGCTGAGGGCGGGTTGATGAAGGCTGTAGGTGGCCAATAAATTGGCTGGGAGACTGGGACTGGCTTGTATGAGAGGCGGGAGACTGGAAGTTGACTGATGTTTGTTGTGGCTGGCCAGTAAGATGGGGTAGTTGAGGGTAGTTTTGGTGAGGTAGCAGGTGCAGTTGTCACAGGTGCATCTATCCAGAACAGTTCACTAGTAGATGGACGGTGTGCAAAGCTTGGGCCTGTGGGTAGCGGTCCGTATGTAGTGCTGAAGACTGTGGATGGTGGTCTGTATGTAGTAGTACTGGGGATTGTGGCTGGTGGTCTATATGTGGTACTGAAGATTGTAAGTGGTGGTCTGTATGTAGTATTAAAAATTGTGGCTGGTGGTCTGTATGTAGTGCTGAAGACTGTAGGTGGTGGTCTGTATGTAGTACTGGGGATTGTGGGTGGTGGAATGTATGTAGTACTGGGGATTGTGGGTGGTGGAATGTATGTAGTACTGGAGACTGTGGGTGGTAGTCTGTATGTAGTGCTGAAGATTGTGGGTGGTGGTCTGTATGTAGTGCTGAAGATTGTGGGTGGTGGTCTGTATGTAGTGCTGGGGATTGTGGGTGGTGGTCTGTATGTAGTACTGGGGATTGTGGGTGGTGGTCTGTATGTAGTGCTGAAGATTGTGGGTGGTGGTCTGTATGTAGTGCTGGGGATTGTGGGTGGTGGTCTGTATGTAGTACTGAAGATTGTGGGTGGTGGTCTGTATGTAGTGCTGGGGATTGTGGGTGGTGGTCTGTATGTAGTACTGGGGATTGTGGGTGGTGGTCTGTATGTAGTGCTGAAGATTGTGGGTGGTGGTCTGTATGTAGTGCTGAAGATTGTGGGTGGTGGTCTGTATGTAGTGCTGAAGATTGTGGTGGTGATCTGTATGTAGTATTGGGGACTGTAGGTGGTGGTCTGTATGTAGTCCTGGGGATTGTGGGCGGTGGTCTGTATGTGGTACTGGGGACTGTAGGTGGTGGTCTGTATGTAGTGCTGAGGATTGTGGGCGGTGGTCTGTATGCAGTACTGGGGATTGTGGCTGGTGGTCTGTATGTAGGGTTGAAAATTGTGGGTGGTGGTCTGTATGTAGGGCTGAAGATTGTGGGTGGTGGTCTGTATGTAGTGCTGGGGATTGTGGGCGGTGGTCTGTATGTGGTACTGGGGATTGTAGGTGGTGGTCTGTATGTAGTGCTGAGGATTGTGGGCGGTGGTCTGTATGTAGGGTTGAAGATTGTGGGTGGTGGTCTGTATGTAGGGCTGAAGATTGTGGGTGGTGGTCTGTATGTAGTGCTGGGGACTGTGGGCGGTGGTCTGTAAAGTAGGGTTGAAGATTGTGGGTGGTGGTCTGTATGTAGGGCTGAAGATTGTGGGTGGTGGTCTGTATGTAGTGCTGGGGATTGTGGGCGGTGGTCTGTATGTGGTACTGGGGATTGTAGGTGGTGGTCTGCATGTAGTGCTGGGGATAGTGGCTGGTGGTCTGTATGTAGGGCTGAAGATTGTGGGTGGTGGTCTGTATGTAGGGCTGAAGATTGTGGGTGGTGGTCTGTATGTAGTACTGGGGACTGTGGGTGGTGGTCTGTATATAGTACTGGGGATTGTAGGTGGTGGTCTGTATGTAGTGCTGGGGATTGTGGGCGGTGGTCTGTATGTAGTACTGGGGATTGTGACTGGTGGTCTGTGTGGAGTGCTGAAGATTGTGGCTGGTGGTCTGTATGTAGTACTGGAGAATGTGGGTGGTGATCTGTATGTAGGGCTGAAGATTGTGAGCGGTGGTATGTATGTAGTGCTGGGGATTGTGGGCTGTGGTCTGTATGTGGGGCTGAAGATTGTGGGAGGTGATCTGTATGTAGTGCTGAAGATTGCGGCTGGTGGTCTGTATGTAGGGCCGAAGATTGTGGGTGGTGGTCTGTATGTAGTGCTGGGGATTGTGGGCTGTGGTCTGTATATAGGGCTGAAGAATGTGGCTGGTGGTCTGTATGTAGGGCTGAAGATTGTGGCTGGTGGTCTGTATGTAGTACTGGGGATTGTGGGTGGTGGTCTGTATGTAGTGCTGAAGATTGTAGGTGGTGGTCTGTATGTAGTGCTGAGGACATGTGTATTGACATCTAGACCACTGCTGTTCACCATAAAAATACCTGGATGTTTCTTGTCACGTGTATAATCTGTCGTGTGTTCCAAGGGGCGGACGTTCACATAAGACGGGACAGTCTGGTATGGAGACGAGAGCCAGCCTTGAAAAGAGTGAGAGATGTAGGCATTGTTTACGCTCAGGTCCCTGTCACCTGTCAAGGGTTCATTATAGACTGGAAGGGACTGGGAAATGATGAATCCGGATGGGGGTGTCGGGGCCAGAATCGGCACCGTCAGGGAACTAATGTTGTTAAAAGGGTGGTAGAGCGCACCTGATGGGTCGTAAGAAACGTAGCTGGATGCCTCTGAACCACTGTCAGAACCAGTCGGGAAACCCTGAGGTCCAGTCGGGGCATGGCGGGGTGCAGTCGGGGCAGGATGATGTTCAGTCGGTGCAGAATGATGTCCGGTCGGTACAGGATGATGTCCAGTCGGTGCAGGAAGACTTCCAGTCGGGCTGTCATATCCACCGCCAATTATAATGTCATTAGGTTTGGGAGCACCATAGGCGTCTGGAAGTTCCCGGGTACCTGTGGGTCCTCCATGGTGATGCCCTCCGGTGGTGTCCCCGAAAGGTGCTGCATAGCCGGTAGGTGGAGCTCCATAGCTGTCTTGGGGAGGGAGAGGAGGAGGGCCATAACTTGGTGGGGGAGGGCCATAGCTTGGTGGTGGAGGGGGTGGACCGTAGCTTGGAGGAGGAGGACCATAACTTGGAGGAGGAGGACCATAACTTGGAGGAGGAGGGCCATATACTGGTTCTGTGAAAAAAAAAGAGTAATGATAAGTGTTACAGACTGTCGACTGTAACAATATTTAAAAATAAAATTATTAATTTCAGTTTTAATTTCCGGCTAGGAATTGACCTCCCTACCAGTGTGACGAGAGCCGCGAGTGTCACCACTCGGCTACGGTAGTCGGCATCACGGCAAGTAAGTTTATTTAGGCACATGTACACTTAAAGTACAATGATCATACTTAGTGTAAATTATCTAGGATAACCCCCAAAAAGTCAAAATGACTTATCTCCATTGGAGTCCTTGTAATATCTTACTTAAACCTTAAAAGTTAAAACAGTTAAGTAAATCAACTGTGTGAAAAGTTACTTTAGTAGATAAGTGAGTTTATTGAGGTACGGGTACACATAAATACAGTTACATAAATTATCATACATAGCAGCATATGTGTAGATTACCTAGGATAACCCAAAAAGTCAAAGTGACTTATTTAGACACCTGGACCGGGATCCATACTGGCAAATCAAATAGAATAGAATAGAATGCCTTATTTCCGTTGGAGTCCTTGTAATATCTTATTTAAACCTTAAAATTTAAAACAGTTAAATGTAACAATTTCAACGTGCTTTAAGAAAACAAAACGAAAAGAGCCAATGGTCGTACCAGGGGCTGGAGCGCTGCCCTTTCCTTTATTGAACTTGTCCTTAAAATGCTTGAGAACAGTGCCCATCGCCCGGGTCTGCAAGGATTTCATCTTCTTGTCGAGTGTGCCAAAGGCGCTGACCACAGTATCAAGGGCACCCTTGAGTTTCTTGCCAGCGGCATCCTTAGTCTCCTTGAAGAAGCTAAAGTCGGGTAAGGGTAGAAAACCCTGCAAGAGAAACATATTCCTTCAGGTGGGTGGTGACTTTCATGTTAGTGAAAAACTCTTGATGCAAGACAGATGGAGCTATCCTCCCTCTCCTTGCATCAAGCCTGATTATATCCTGTTATCCAGGTGCTGTGTGATCCCAACGGGTTTAGCGTTTCCCCATGAATAATAATAATAATAATAATAATAATAATAATAATAATAATAATAATAATAATAATAACTATTTACCAAGGAAGCAGAGCATATACATCTAAGTTAAAGAATGAGACACTTGTGCAACATTTAGGAATCTTTATTGAGGAAACGTTTCCCCAAGCAGTGGCTTTATCAGTCCAATACAAAGAATAACGGTGAAAGTAGATGAATTGGAGGTGTTCAGTCCACGAACATTGATTGATGGACTGAACACATCTACTCCAGGCTGAGGGACTGATTACCTCCAACTCCTCCTTATCATTCACTATTCTTCAGTGTATTGGACTGAAGAAGCCTCTGGCTGGCGAAACGTTTCCTCAATAAAGATAACCAAATGTTGCACAAGTGTCTCATTCTTAAATTTGTCAATTTTCTAAACCATTACATCTCATATATGTGATGTAGATAAAAACCTCAGGTGTATATATATATATATATATATATATATATATATATATATATATATATATATATATATTATATATATATATATATATATATATATATATATATATACCTGAGGTTTATATACCCGAGGTTCTCTCCCTCTCCCTTCCCCGTCCGGCCAAATTAGGAAGAAAACGGAAAAGTAAATCTTCTTGATTCGCCGGTATTCTCCCGGCCCGGGCCTTTTCCAAGTGGTGGCCCGGCCTTGTCTCCCTGTCTCAGGAGTGTCTCAGACTATTGTCTACCATGAGAGGAGGTACAAGTACCTCCTCAACGGTGAGACCAACTGTCCACCGCCCTCACAGGGCTTGTAAGGAGAAGCTAGGTCTCTCTGGTCTGCCATCCCCGCCCCGGGGGGGGGGGGGACTAAGGGGAATAGCAGACCTGTGAGCTGCAAGCTCGGGCTCTGGCACCTACCCTGCCCTAGAAGGGCTGGGCATGGTGTCGATGGAAAAGCAAAGTCAGTACGAGTAGGTATACCAATGTCCTATTTTAGGATTGAAAAAAAAATCCCTGGTTAGCATGTAATTTCAGGTGAAGTTGCTCTTAAAGAAGAACAAAAGTCAATCAAAAAAATTTTTTTTTCAAAAGACTAAAAACCATAATTTGTAAAAAAAAAAAAAAAAATATCCACGACACGTACAGCAAGGAGTGAAAACTACAGAAGACATTTTTTTGTCTGTCCTGGACCATTTTGAAGCCTATCGTGACGTGATAATGATCCAGAACAGACCCGAAAAACGTCATCCAAAGTTGTGTTTAAAGCTTACCAAGCCACCTTTGCCGCCTTTGCCGCCTTTGCCTCCGCTTTCAATGGGTTCTCTTATAATAATGACCGGAGGGCCATATTGGGGTGGTGGTGGGCCATACTGGGCTGGTGGTGGCCCATACTGTGCTGGTGGAGGAGCTGGTGGTGGACCGTACTGAGCTGGTGGTGGCCCATACTCGGCTGGTGGAGGAACTGGTGGTGGGCCATACTGATCTGGTGGTGGTGCATACTGGTCTGGTGGTGGTCCTCCATGGTCGTGGTGATGGTGACCAGCACCATCTGCCATAGTGCGGCCACTCAGGGCCAGCAGCAGCAACAATACACACATCTGCATGAGATAAAACTTTATTGAATCCAGGAAAATCCAAATAAAGATAAGAAGTGTAATATGGTTGTATTGAGGACAAACTGTAAGTTGCGACCGCCAGCATTCACTTAACACAGATGTTAAGTGAATGAGGCGAGTCTATCAATATGCAGGTACCTATTTACTGTTAGGGCTAAACCACAGGTTGTGACTCACAACAGTCTATTAACACACATGTGCCTATTTAATGCTAGGTAAACAGAGGACAACAGGTTTAAGGAGACTTCCCTCTGCGTCTCACCTCACGACAGAATGAACCTGGTTCACTCCAGTTAAGAGCCCGACACTACTGTGAGTTTGCATTCGTCTGTTGCTATTCACCTATTTGTGGTATTAGAAATAGTTTTGCCAGCTTCTAAAGTGGCCGTTACTGGGCTCACTGTCTCCTAACTTAGTGGGCCCTATCATACCTGTTCTTGAAGATATCTATAGAACCTGCTCTCTACCAGTCTGTTGTCCAGGTCATTCCATTTCCTAACTACTCCGAGGGCTAAAGAGATGTTTCCTGATATACCCGAAACTTTCCAATGTAACCTAGTGTACAAGTTTTCCGCCCTTCGAACAACCTGTCCCTGTCCATTCAATCAATTCCTCTTGAGTATGTTTTATGTCATTATCATGTTTCCCGTGATCCTTCTGTCATCTAATGCCATCATCCCTCCCAGTTTTCCCTAGAAACTCTTTTTAAAGGGGATCCTTGGTGATAGTAAAGGGCTCTTGATCCAAAGAGAAATTAAGCTATCCTCCCCATTCTTTGATCAATCTTTTACCTCCCCTCCGAGATTACCTTCAAGAGGTTAGAAATGATATGTGTGCTAGAAGATATTTCCTTGAAATATCTTCTGGTACACGTATCGTTTTGTTCTATTAAAGGCTCAGGGCTAATGAAAATTAAGCTAAGGTGCAAAGTTGTAAGTTTAACATTATGTAAAAGTATTTTATAATCAGTATAAGTGTTTTATAGTAAGCATAAGTGTTTGATAAAAGGTATAAATGTTTTATAATCAGTAAAAGTGTTATAATAAGTGTTTTATAATCAGTACAAGTGTGTTATAATAAGTGTTTTATAATCAGTATAAGTGTGTTATAATAAGTGTTTTATTATCAGTAAAAGTGTGTTATAATAAGTGTTTTATAATCAGTATAAGTGTGTTATAATAAGTGTTTTATAATCAGTATAAGTGTGTTATAATAAGTGTTTTATAATCAGTATAAGTGTGTTATAATAAGTGTTTTATAATCAGTATAAGTGTGTTATAATAAGGGAAAGAACTCGCAAATATCCTTCTAGTGGACCCATTATGTACCTCTGTAATCTTCTGACTATCACTCACACCATGGGTATGTCGTGCATAATAAAAAGATATCAAACTAAAACTAAACGATATCAGATATCAGGAAGTCTAGTACAGTTTGGACTTTACTACTAAATGTCTTAAATAACCACGTTGAACACACGTTGAATAAACATGTTGGTGGGGGTACGATTGGCATGTCAACATCTCGGGCTGTTTTCGTATGCAAGTCCTGACACTCGTAGCTTTCTAGTTTCTCTAGAATGTTGCTGATTTGTGGATCAGAAATTCTTCAGAGCATCGCAAGAATCTCTATTAATAATATACTCACACAGTTTCAAAACAAGCACGAGGAGAGTTGAATGATAGCTCTAGGCCTTTCACGTTGAAATCAACACATCATCAGGACCTTGCAATGTTGCAGAAAAGAGGAGGAGGTCCGAGCAAATGCGATCACAGTAAGCGCCTTTCGAAAGGCCTAGAGCTACCATTCAACTCCCCCCGTGGTTGTTTTGCATCTTGTATCGCTTGTTTGCGATTTTTGCATAATACTCACACAGTTATATTCAGAGTTATTCTTTCACAGTTGTGTTAGCGGGAGTAGATTCAGCTCTTGGCCCCGCCTCTTAAATTCAAAATTGACTGGTCTTCACTTTCTCTTAGCCTGTTGGTACCTATCACATCTACTCAAAACTATTCACGTCATCTTAGTGAAGAATCTCAGTAGCAACAATCAGCCTTTATTGACAGAGAATCACACACAGTTTAGAAGGTAAAACACGAAGAAAAATCGAAGGGCTGTCACAACACAAAATAATGACTCCCGGAGAGCCAAACATAAGGTTTATACAACCCCTCACCAAACAACAGGATGATTTAGGAGAGACTACAAAAACAAGTGGCAACAACACATACTGGAAATAGTGTTGAGAGAGAAAAAGAACCACAGATAAATACATTATTTTAGCAGATTTTAAACCACAGGAAAACTGGGGTCAGGGTAAGAACAGATAGGGTAAAAGCCAAGTGTATATATATATATATATATATATATATATATATATATATATATATATATATATATATATATATATATATATATATATATATATATATATATATATATATATATAAATGTGTGTGTGCGTGTGTAAAACAATAATGTGACATATAATTCCAGTTAGCCAAATGAAAGTTAAGGGGCGGGATCAAGAGGTTGGGATCAATCTTCAATAACTTAGGCAATTACAGAGGAACTCTTTACTCATCCCCTCTCTGTCTCTTTCCTAAACACTGTTTCTCTTCTTACTCTGATAATTCTTACCTTACCCGGAACTTTCCCTGTTGCAGGCTTCCTTTGTCGTCAACAATGTCGTGTAGTTTTTAGTTTACACTAGAATTGTCTGCTGGAAACCATGAAGTTAGAGCCACTTCTATATGGTTGCAGGGGTAGAGTCAGCTCCTGGTCCCGCCTCTTTACTGATTTCGCTAATCTTGACTAAATGACCCTATCGTGCCTCTCCTTAAAGCTTTGTCTGGGGATGAGTTGGCTAGTTCACTTTTAAGGAAAGTATTTAGAGATGTAACAAGTGTGTTAGCAGGTTTGAAAGGTTGCTTACAAATTTTAAGAACGTGTTTGCAAGCTTCGGGACGGACGGCAGGAAAGAGTAGTAAAGGAGTGAATCATAGTGGCCTTTAATAAACTGGTCCATACATGCTGTCAGGTAAACACTCACAAGATTATAAGCGCCATATGAGTAATGATGTTGAGGACTGTGGACTTATGATGTGGTGGTAGTCGTTGTAGTAGTGGTGGGCTAGTGATGGTGGCACAATAAAGATAACTGCTGTAATAGTGTCTAGTGATGATGGTGGTAGTAGCTAGTGAGGGTGAGAGTGACGATGGTGGTACTTGTTGCAGGAGTGGTGGGCTAGTGATGGTGGCACAATAAAGATAACTGCTGTAATAGTGTCTAGTGATGATGGTGGTAGTAGCTAGTGAGGGTGAGAGTGAGGATGGTGGTACTTGTTGCAGGAGTGGTGGGGTAGTGATGGTGGCAGTGTTAGTGACGATGGCAGTGTGTTTGAGGTGATAGAGGCGATTATGTTAGCCTAAGTATCATTCTGGATCGTTCAGGAATATGCAGGCCAGCAGATGTAAGGAAACATGTAAGTCTCGCCAGGCCGAGAATCTAACCCAGGTCCTCTCGGTTTTGATACCTTAATCACTTTCAATAACACGCACGTTCTTGCATGTGAAAATTAAAGTTCAATATCACCTCGTTAGTGATCCACGGAAAAGGAGCTACTCGCCTCTTCCTTGGATCGAACCCGCGTGCCTCCCATTCATCAGGTGCTGTATGACTCCTACGGGCTCACCGCTTTCCCCTGATTATAATAAAATATAATTATATACAAAGACACCACCCCTAACAACACAACAGTGAACAAATAAAAATAAACATGGGAGGGCAAGAAAGCAAAAAAAAAAAAAAAAAAAAAAAAAACCGGCAGAACAAGAAATCAAGAAGCAAAAAAAAAGAAGATAGAATGAATGGCGTAGTAAGTGTGTGGTGAGGCAGCTACCAGTGCTGAGAAACCTGCTCCAGCGGCCTCGCCTGACCTTTCACAGTATTGCCACAGTGACGAAGCACGATGCTGCAACAATGCAACCTGCCTTGAGTCGCAACACGGGTTTTGTACGGACTCTCTGAAGGATGATTACTATATTAGGCTTTCGACTACACGGGACTCAATAAAGCTGTGTTACCTGTACACCAGTCAACTAGAATTTAAACATATACTTCATATAGAAATTACTGTGTATAAACACTAAGACATATATATATATATATATATATATATATATATATATAATATATATATATAATATATATATATATATATATATATATATATATATATATATATATATATATATATAATATATCGTGCCGAATATGTAAAACTGGTCAATTAGCAAGAACTCATTTAAAATTAAGTCCTTTCTAAAATTTTCTCTTATACGTTTAAAGATATATTTTTTTCATTAATGTTAATGTAAAATTTTTTAATTTTGCACCAAAAGAATCTTAGAAAACTTACCTAACCTTATTATAAGAAAAACAATTTATTTTAGCCTAACCCAAATATATATATTTTAGATTTGTTTACAATAATTTAATACTAAACAAACACAGTGAAATATATTTTTTTTCGTTAGGTTCAGAATGATTTTGGCGAAATTATTGCATACACAAATTTTCACTTGTCCTATATGGCAAGATGAACGTTGCTATTTAAGCCAAGATCGCAAGTTCTGCCTATTCGGCACCACACACACACACACACACACACACACACACACACACACACATATATATATATATATATATATATATATATATATATATATATATATATGACTCACTAAATCGTAATGACACGATTGTAAACAAACCATACCACGGGCGGGATTTGAACCCGCGGTATGTATGCTGCACATACATGCCCAGCGCAATATATACTTTCAGTTCGTGTTGGTTTCCTACTAACATTGACTTAAGTCTACTTTTTCCTATATGATAAATTTTAGGTTAGGTTTTGTCATGTTAGTTTAGGCTCCTTTTAAAATCTTCATTTATTACAAGTACATGTACAAGGTAT